CTTTCTTTTGAAAGACCCAGTTTTATTCATTACATTTAAAACAGAAATGTTTCTCCCTTGTAATGATAAATTTATTTCTTAACACTAAGTAAATATATCTGATAAATAAGCAAAACTTGTTGAGCATGAAGGATTTATTAAAAATTCCAAGAAATTTTGCTCCATATTACTTGATGGAATGAAGCAATATTACGCAGCTCAAATTATCTTGATAATGCTTTTCCCCTGTATAGCCATCTTACTGTTGAATTCAATAGAAGTGCAATTTATTTATTGTTTCCAATTTCATTGCATAAAATTTCAAATTATTTAAATTGTAATGATCTAGATTTTACATAATGATCGTTTTTCCAACTGTATTCATAATATGCTTCAAGTACGTAGGTTTTTTTTTTTTTAACTAATGCCTATTTGTGTATAAAACGGGACATTTTATTGCATTTCTAGCAATTCCAAAATGCGCGTAACAACTCCCTTCATCTTGCCCACCACTGCTTGTGCACAATCTTCACAAACATTGGTACATGTTTTTTAATGTTTTGCTTTTAGAAATACAATTATTGATGCAGTTAGCTTGTAATGTCATTAGGATATTTTTGAGTACAGGAAACATGAAAAATGAGCAACCGGGACTCGAACCCGGACCTCTCGAATACGTGCCGAGCGTGCTAACAATTACACCATGAAGGCATGCTAGACGGATGAAAAAGCCCTTTTAGAAGAAATATACTGCCCTTTTTAAAGGGCGACTGGGGATTAGGGGACCCAGTCGCCAAATCCTGATGGTGAAGAATCATCGTCCACCGCCTTTTTAGTTCGAGTGCCACTGTAGAATCATTAGGATATTTATGAATACAGGAAACAGGTAAAAATGAGCAACAGGTAAAAATGAGCAATGTCTTCGCCAGTACTCGAACCTGGATCTCTCGAATACGCGCTCAGGGGGCTAACCATTACACCACGAAGGCATGCTAGAAGGAGGTAGAAATACCTATAATCTATACTTTCTCTAGTGGCTGTTTCTTGGGTGTATTTGGAAAAGAGTAAATTCTCTTCAGTGCTGTTATTATATATATACAGTGCATAAATGCATATAAAGCAGATAGAAACGCGATATCTGTTGACTTATCCATTTGTTAAACAAATTTATTGCAAAGTTTAACTCGATTAATTAGTTTTATCCCTACATCAGTATAGTTTGGCAGCGCGTTGCCAAGTAATGCTTTCGGATAAGTATTAATGAATCCATTTTTAGCGGACTCTTCACTGAAGATGAAGAACACAAAGTTTTCACACAAGACTTAATACGTTTCTCGCTAATCGCGTAACATTACTTACAATTCGGTAAATCGTGCAATGACATATTCTTGGCACCATTTCGTTTTTAGATTTAGCAGTTTTTATCATTTGAAGTTGATATTTTCCCAGGAAGTTAAGTTTCCTTTTAAAGGAGTTTCCATAAAATAGATTTTTCTTCCTAATCAAAGTGCTTCGTTTCAAAATGGTTCTAAAGTTTATTAGAAATTTATTACATACAATAGACATTTGCATCCAGGACATTTTAGGACATCGAAAATTCACGTACTGCCTCAATTAAAATTCCCCGTCATATCTTCCTTTTGGCGCACCTTTCGATGATCATGCTTTTTGGAAAGAAGCGCACTTTCCCAAATGCAGATTTAATTTTTTTTTAAATACAGGGTGATTATAATTAAAGTTGCTATTTCAAAACCCTCTAACTTTAAAACTACTTGTCAGAATGACTTGATAGTTTACTAGCACAATTGGGAGTAGAATTTTGTTTGGAGAAGGAAAGAAAATAGTTTCAAAATATACCGATAGATGGCGCTGTCAGCGCTCACATTGCTGTTATGCAAATTACTAAGACGTAACATGCACACTGCAGACATGGCTAAGATAAAAATGCAGAGCACTAACGACACATTTTGCCTGAGTGCTTCATCATGACTCTGAAAGATCGTGCTCTTTTCGTGAAGCTTTCCTATTAGAAGGGTGACTGTACGTTAACAGCTACCAGGAAGTTCCGGACATTAAAAAGCATAAAATCCGGCTCAATGACCACTTACGGCCTGCTGAAAATGATAGAAAAATTTAATCCTGCTGACCTGCAAACACGTTTGCACTACAAATTCTTGCCGAGTTGGAAATGGATAATGAATGGCCTTAGAACATTCTGGGGTCTGACGGAGCTCATTTCCATTTGCAAGGTTCTGTAAATACGCAAAATTGTAGGATATGGGCGACCGAGAATCCGTTCCCGCCACAGCCATTACCTCTTCACTCTGAAAGGGTCACTGTGTGGTGCGGAATAATGGAAGCGTTTGTCGTTGGGCCCGTCAATAGCTCAGTAAAACTCATAATTAAATAAATCACTTCACACAAAAACTCAAAAATGGACTGTATACTAAAATTTATTAATTACTCAAAAAGCCGCAGAGTTAGTTCACATTTCTCGGCAGCGTCTCAGAACACACTCAAAACTCAATACAAGTGGCCGCCAGATAGCGCTATAAAAAACATTAGCGTCATCGTTTTAGAACACAAATATTACATATTTTTCACAGATGGCGACTCTGGCGTCAACATTCAGCCCGGCCTTGAATGTTACATTTAACAATAAATTTAGAAACACAAAAATATACCAAATACAATGTTAACACTAAAATATATCAAAAAAACGCAACACTGCAAGATAATAATAATGACGTATTGTAGTTATACAATTATACAGTAGCTCAAAACTTGATAATTAACTACAAATAAAATTTAAGTAACTGAAACTTTTTCATTAACCAAAAGGCAAAGGTACAATTTTTTTCATTGGTCCTTTTATAGGTTCCATTTTTATCTTTAAGTGTCACAACCTTGAATAGTATTATCTTGACCTGGATGAGGTTTTAATAATTCGTGCTAAATGCCACTTTAAAGGAGAGTAATTATCCAAATCTTTTACTAAAACTAAATCTCCTTCCTTCATTTCTTACTTTTCTTTTTATACCATTTTGGTCTATTTAAAAGTTTGTTTAAATACTCAGACGAACCATTTTTTTTCCAAAAATTTTGATTTAGTTTCTGAACCATTTGCCATCTAGTTATCCGAATTTATAGGAATCTCTGTAAAATTAGGTTCAGGCATTGCAATTAAAGATGAACCAATAAGAAAGTGAGGCCAGGTGTCAATGCCTTCAACATCATTTGGATCAATTTGATAATGGGACAAAGAGGGCGAGAATTAAGTACAGATTCAATTTGAACAATTAAGAGTAAAAAATTCTTCATAAGTTAGAAATTGCTTTTTCCCACCACACGTTTCAAGTGATATTTAAGGGATTTTAACACTAGCTTCCCATAAATCCTCCTAAGTGAGGAGTAGAGGGAGGATTTTAAAATGCCAATTTATGCCTTCAGTAGCCAAATAACCTTTGATTTCTTCCTCACTTTTATCCTTAAATAAAGATTTTAGAATTGCTCTTAATTCTCTATGAGCACCCACAAAATTCCTGCCATTATCACTGAAAATATATGAGGGTTTACCTTCGCCTGGCAATAAAGCGTTTAAGTGCTGCTATAAATGCTGCACTTGTTAAATCATTTAACAATTTCAAAGTGGCAAGGCCTTCGTAGTGAAACATACAAAAATACATACAAATACTTTTCTTACCTGTTTACTTCTACCTACAAAATTTTTTTACCACAAATGGACTACAGAAAATCGAGTCCTGTTTTAGCAAAAGCTCTTGATATGGTCACTCTCGCAGCTGGTAAATCAACCATCTGTTGCTGCACAGGACCTAGAATTTACCTTTTTACAAATCATACAATTAAATATAATTTTTCTAATTGCATTTCTTGCAGAAACAGTCCAAAATTTACTCCTTATAAGTGATAGGGTTGTTTCAGCACCTGCATGAAAATAAAGAACATGAAAATGATTAATCACAATTACACTAAAATTATGTTTAGTTGGCAGAATCATAGGATGTTTTCTCATTTCACTTAAATCACTGTTTTTCAGTCTGCCAGCCACTCTGAGTACTCCATCATGATCTAAAAATTGACACAGATTCAATAGTTTACTACTATTAGGAATAGGAGCACCCTTTTCTAAGCACTGGATTTCTGTCACAAATGAAGTTCTTTGAACATTTTTCACAATACACAATAACGCACTAGAAAGTTCACTGGTTGTCAATGTTCCGCGTGTAGCCTGCAATGGATGCTTGGTGTTACGCAAAAACCTCTTGCACCAAGCCACCCTTAGCAATTTCTTGTAAGATGAACAATTATTGATGACATCTAGTGGCTCATAAGTGTTAATAAATGCACATATTTCACTTACTGCTGGTGGTTTTACTTCGCGAAGATACAGTTCTTCGGACTCCTCAGGGAGATCATCTCATGGCACTTAGTCATCACAGGTTGAAGAAGAAATGGGGGACCACACGACCACAGTTCACACAGTTGAAGTTTGACCGGATCAGCACCTCTTGATATGAGATCCGCAGGGTTCTGTTTAGATGGGAAGTGATGCCACTGTCGCACCTCCGTTATTTCTTGAACCAACCGCAACTCGATTAGCAACAAACGTTTTCATACAACAGGGCTCCTTTTTCAGCCAAGCCAAGACTATCGAAGAGTCACTCCAGAAAAATACATTATTCACATTAAGTTTCAGAGCAGATATTACTCGAGTCATTAACTTCGCAAGCAATACAGCTGCGCATAACTCTAATCTTGGTATGGTAACTTGCTTTATAGGAGAAAAGTTTGATTTACTTGTTACAAGCCTTATCACCACTTCACCATATTGGGAGACGGATTTACAATAAACTACAGCTCCATAAGCTAACTCAAAGGCATCACAAAATCCGTGTAACTCAATAACAATTGCTTCTGCGACAAGAATGCATCTGTTAATTTCTAATTTACATATATGTGGTAGTTCAGAGAAAAACCGTTGCCATTCTTTGGCTTCTTTTTCAGGTAGAAGATCGTCCCAGTTGAACTTCAAAAACCATAGTCTCTGAAGAAATATTTTTAGCTTTAGCTATCAGGGGATCCAATAAACCAAGTAGGTCAAAGATTCTCGCTATTGTTGACAAAACTTGCCTTTTAGTAATTTTAGGCTCATTTTCTAGTTTCGCTTTAAAATTAAAACAATCTTCATCTGCTTTCCAGGAAACACCAAGGGCTGACACTTCATTCGCGGACTGAAATGTGTATTCACCATCAAAGTTAACTGCAAGCTCCGGATTGTTGCTACACCATTTGTGCAGAGTCATAGTTGCACTTTTTAAAATCTCAATTAATTCATGCTGTAGCTCTTTTGCCGACCTCAATGAACTGGACCCTGTTAGAACATCACCCATGTAAAACTCACTCTGTAGAACTGCAGCTGCTAATGGAAAATTTGTGAACTCATCTATAGCAAGCTGACGTAATGTTCTCATGGCTTAAAAAGGTGCACTTACTGTGCCATTGGTGACTGTGTTCAACTCAAAAGTTTTAACTGAACCATTAATTTACTCTTTCCACAAAATTCTCTGTAGCTGCCGTTGAGTAGGATGAATCGATATCATTCGATACATCTTTCTGATATCCGCTGTAAAAGCATAAATATGTTTTCGGAAACGTACCCTAATTGAAAACAAGTCCTCTTGAATTACACCACCATTATACTGAATGGAATTCAGTGAATTACCTTTTGACGTTGCAGTCGAAGCATTGAACACTACCCTCAAATGTGTCGAACTTTTCTCAGGGCGATAAATACCAAGGTGTGGAATATAATATTTCCTCTTTTGCTCATCTTCATCTTTCACTTCAGTCATGTGACCTAGTTCACTATATTCATGTAGGAAATCAGAGTACAATAATAAGTAATTTACATCCTTACTTAAATGAGTTCACAACGAGTTCAACCTCTTAAGCGCGATTTGTTTCGAATTCCCTAAACACATTGGATCTTCCTTAAACGGTATCTTGACTTTCAGTCCTGTAATAGTTTTTGAGAAAATGCTGTTCACAAATTTCTGCTTCTTTACTCTTAGAAATCTCAGACTCTCTTTCTACGTTTTCGATTTCCCAAAACTCTCTTACTGCTCTTTCTAACTCCAAATTAGCTGTAATAAGCCCACAATGTATTTTACTTTCCCCTTTAGCAGGAAGAGTCCTACTTACAACATAGCCGAAAAACACTATTTTGTAATCTTAAATTTGAATCCTGAAGGGAAATTTGACCTGGTTTTAAAAGCTCATAGAAATGTTCTGCACCTATCAGAAATTCAATTGGGCCTGCCTCAAAAAAATTGTCATCTGCTAAATTGATATTATCTAAAGATGAAACATTAATTTCAAGAGGCCTAGAGGGCGTATATTCTGTTATTTTAATAGGAACCACCAAAAAATTTAAACTTAAATCGAAACTCTTGTCTCTATTTAAAATAGTTTTACTAACTCTAGACTTTATATCAAAGACAAATTATTTATTCCTGAAACAGAAATGTTAGTCTTTTCTCCCTTTAACTGAAGCAAATCTGCTAACCTTTTGCTCCTAAAATTTGAATTAGCGCCGACATCTAACAAACCTCTAACCTTAAAAAAGTTACCCGATGCATCTTTAGTTAAACAAACAAAAGTACTAAGTAAGACAGCTTTTAATTCATTCGCGAGATTGCATGTTGTTGATAATAAATTTTGATCAGTACTCATTTTAGCTTGCAGTGGTTCAAATGATAGAGGCGAAGTGTCCAAATTCGAAGGACTATTTTGATTTTCATGACTCACCACCTGCGCAATTATGTCTTTGTTTATTTTTTGTTCGTGAGGGAAATGAAGAGCCACGTGATGTTTCTTTTTACAAATACCGCAAGAGAATTTATTGCTGCAATTAATCACCTTATAATTTCCTAAACAGTTGAAATATAGCTGTTTCGATTTCACTAGCCCAACTCTATCGCTAACTGTCATGTTTTTATAAACAGGGCATTTGTACAAAGGATGAATTTCATTGCATGATAAAATACATTTCGAATTTTTTACATCAGTTAGAAAAACCTTTGACATATTTTTAGGATAACTGTTTTTATTACTCAACCTAGAATTATCCACTACAGGTTTTCCCTTTGATATATAATATAAATCTTTGACATGTTTTTAGGATAACTGTTTTTATTACTCAACCTAGAATTATCCACTACAGGTTTTCCCTTTGATGTATAATATAAATCTATCTCCTTCGCCAATTCTACAGGTTTAAACCAAGAATTTCCTTGCCTACATTTATAAAACACATAACCTCTTTATCAAGTGTTTGACATATTTTATCAGAAACCATTAATTGTTTTAATGTTTCAAAGTCATTTACCTTTCTCAGTTTCAAATAATAATCCCAACTCGTGGTTAATCTAGATGTGAACTGCACATAAGTTTTATTCGTCTTTCGTTGTGTCTTTTCCCTAAAAATTTCTAAACAAATTTGGGGGGATGGTTCGAATTCTCTTAGCACTATTATTTTAACCTTCGAGTAATCTCCTAATTCGTCGTCTTTAATGTATGTAATAACATTTGTGGCTTTTTCTCCCAACAAATTTAGAAGAATTTCCGATTTAAATTTCTCTAGAACACTTTTTGAAATGAACGTCATTTCTAACGATGAAAAGAAATAACCCCAACCTTCCGGTCTAATTGGAATTTTAGTTGTTAAAGTACGTATACTTTTAATAAGAGAGTCAAGAGATTCTAAATTTTCTCTTTTCTCATATTCTATGAGGTTTTCACTCTTTGATTCTGCTCGCAACTTCACGAGTTCTAGTTCCGATTTCGCTCATTCCGTTTTCAATTTCTCAAGTTCGAGCAATCGGCTCTCGTCACTTTTCCTTTCGTCGATAATATTGTGGGGAAAGGCAACGACCATAGTTGATAACACATATTTATTACTATTTACAAATATAGATTACATTAGGATTACAATTAATGAAAATGGTATACGAGCGATCGAGCGACGTCTGCTCCGCTCGCCAGCTAATCCACGTCTTCTCCCGAAGGCGGGAAACACATGCTGATGCAATGCATACGTCACACAGTAGGGGATTAGGGAATATCATGACATAATATTTCCCACAATATTATTAGCTATACCTTCAACTAATACAGGATCATTCTTATAGCTTTTACTGTTTTTAATTATATCAGTTAAATCTGATATAGTTTTCGCTTCTGAAATGTCTAAAGTCAGCTCTACAGCAATACGCTGATAATCTTCTTTTTTTTTTTTTTTTTGCACTTTTAAACATTTTGAATCTACTTTTTCAATTACACAGTTATTACAATTAAGGCCACGTACCTTCTATTTAAGAGTAATTCCAAAGTTTTTCTTCCACGACAATTGTTTTCCGACTTTGACACACCATTCGAACTCCAGCTCGTTAAGGATCAACAATGGTCCCGTCAATAGCTCAGTAAAACTCATAATTAAATAAATCACTTTACACAAAAACTCAAAAATGGACTGTATACTAAAATTTATTAATTACTCAAAACGCCGCATAGTTAATTCACGTCTCTCGGCGACGTCTTAGAACACACTCAAAGCTCAATACAAGTGGTCGCCAGGTGGCGCTATAAAAACATCAGCGTCATCGTTTTAGAACAGAAATATTACATATTTTTCACAGATGGCGCCTGTGGCGTCAACAGTCGTCGATCCGTTCTTCTTCGAGAAGATCACACCTGTGGGTTCCGTTACCTGCCCAGTTACTGGCAGGCGGTATGAAGCACTTTTTCCGTAAACATGTCCTTCCAGCACCTCAGCCATGTCAATCTCTGGATGGCGCTATATTCATGCAAGATGGCGTCCCCCCGAACATTGCTACTTTTGTGAAGCTGTTGCTGATTGGTCATTTCCGAGATGATATAATCATAAGCCACCATTTTCTAATAGCCTGGCCGCCACGCTCTCCTGACTTAAACACGTGTGACTTTTGGCTTTGGGGGATATCTGAAAAATGTTGTTTACAGTGGGCGGCTAGCGAATCTGGCCGACTTGAAGGCAAGCATTACGCACCACATTCATAGCATCAGCACAGATATCCGCCGATCTGTTGTAGAACATGCAGTTTTGCGCTTCCAGTTAGCAGCGGAACAAGGAGAAGAAGCATATCGAACAACTTATGCACTAATCATCTGTAAGGTGTTTGTTTCGCGAAGCTTCTCTTGTCACTATCACTGCTTTCTCTGTAAATACGTATCCTTGTCTTTTCGCTAATCAAATTGTCGTAAATCATTAAAATAAAATTGTCATAAATCATTAAAGTCTATTGTTTCCTTTCGGCTATACATCCACAACAGCAATGTGAACCCTGACAGCGCTATCTATCGACAAATTTTTGAACTATTTTTTTGCCTTCGCCATACAAAATTGCATTACCTCAGGATTGTTCCTGTTAAAATATCAAGTCATGCTGACCTGTAGTTTTAAAGTTAGAGCGTTTTGAAATCGCAACTTTAATTATAATTACCCTACATTTAGATAAATAATTGGTCCTACTATAAATATAGAATATGAATATAATGTAGAAATAAGTATATAAATATAAAATAAAAATATATCGAAGAAGTATTTGGTTCTCTTTTAATGAGGGAATTCAGATTTTAGAGCTAAAAAATGGAGGCAAATAAAAATTTGTATAAAGAAAAACTACAACAGGGAGTAGGCTATTTTGTTTTAAATAATATATAAAGAAAATTACATAAGGACTAATTTATTTTAAATAATATTATATAAAAATAATTAAGTAATGTTGGTTAAAAGAGATAGTGAAAAATAAAAATAAAATAGAGTAACAAAATCAGCAACAGTAGCAAAATTAGCGGAAGTGTTACACATTTAAATTTTCTTAACTAATTCATAATAATAATAGTTTTTATTGTAACCTCAAGACAGGTAATAAAATATATTAATACTGTTACGAAACGCCCAGCTGCGGTAAGATAGCTTCCCCGCAAAGCAGTTTTAGGATTGGTAGCAAATGTCAAGCAAAGGTAGGGTGTCCAGATTCGGAGCGAAATCGTTCATTTGGCTACATTATGTTCCATGGGCCAAGCGAGAACATTCCAGAACGAATTTTTACCGGTTTGCCACAGAATGTTCTCGAAGGCAGGTCAAAATCTATACAAACTTTGCCTGTACGCAGAATAGCAGTGTGTCTTGAGTTTCTCGTGAAATGTATCCGGATTTCAGTAGTAGAGTTCAGAGGTTAGCTTGAGAGCGTTTCTTCAAGTCGGGAGCTGTACTTTAGTGCTTTGATAGCCTGAAGGCTGTAGTGTCGACATTTTCAGGGTGTTTGCCGTAGTTTTTCGACGAGTCTAACGTGTCTTTGGAATTCTTCTATGTAATACTGATGAATAAATTATGTTTTGGTTCTTCATCAAGTGTTGTCATCAATCACTC